AGAGAGAGAGAGAGAGAGAGAGAGAGAGAGAGAGAGAGAGAGAGAGAAATATATCAAAGAAAGAAAAAAACCAGGAAACACTGCAGTTTGCCTGCTGGGTTCCTGGGGAGATTGGTCCTATACCTGGTATTTGATGGACAGAGGACCCCACATGAGGACTGGCAAGCCACTAAGCCTAGAAGGACTATTGAGGCCTTGCTCAGGGCCTGGGCTCCCCTCCAATGCTGGAGCCTTCCCTTTGTGACCTTGTCCTCCAGTGCTGCGGGAGGGGACCAGCGCATCAGTGGGCAGCCCTCAGGAAGCAGGAGAAGAAGCCCAGGAAGGTGAGTCTGAAGATAACCCCTGGGTGCAGGGCAGGTGGAGCCCACTCCCCCAATATCCCTGCCCCCAGTGCTGGTTGTGACAGGCCTCTCTTGGGTTTCAGGTGTGAAACCGAAGATTTTCATGCAGGAATCAGATGCCTCAAATTTCCTCAAGAGGCGCAGCAAGCGGTCCCCCAAATCCAGAGCCGAGGTTAATGGTAAGGATGTTGAGTGGACTCTTACCACAGCAGAGGATTAAGGGTTGCAGAAAAGCCCTTGAGCATCAGGATGACTGTAGCTCTGAAGTAGAAATTATACTGTTTCCTTGATTGTGGGTCACATGTTGGGACAAATGCATTCCTAGCGTGAGGACCAAAAAGGAACAGTGCTGCATCAAATACACCTAACAATTATGAGATGCTTCCCTGCTTCAGAAAGTGAAAAATGTAAAGGAGGAAATGTTCTCTAGTTTAGAAAGCACCTAGCACTTCAGTGGGTGTTTTGGAGTACTGGCAAGGTGCACAGTAGAGCAACAGAATCACATGCCCAAAAAGATCCCAGGGGACAGGAGTGCTGAGAAATGTGGGCTTAGTGACAGCTCTGCTGCTAAGTGGCCTCAGCCACTTCCTGTCTGTGGTCCTAATTTCCTTACTTATAAGCCTCTGAAAAAGCTGTGTTTAGCCAGCTGTGCTTTTTTGAAGCTTTAATTTGCAGTGCAGTTGGTGAGCACATCTCCCTAACAGCCTGTTAGAGGCCCTGGGGTCCACACTGCAGGGCCCTCATGTTCTTAACCTATGGCCCTTGAAGGCAATTGAGTTTCCTACCCCTAAACTTGATTCTTCTTAGACTCTGAGCTCAGGCTGTCCTGGCCAAGTTGACTGCTTGATTCTTTCCTTGTGTGTGTAGATGAATGAACTCTTTGTATCACTGAGCATATGCAGTGAGGTGACTTTCTCAGTGAAAATAACAGGATTATTTTCAAATGATGGGGAAGATCAGAGGTGGAAATGCTTGGAGATGATAATCTTTAAAAAAATTTTTTTTTAAATTGGATAAGTATAGCCAGATTAGTGAAATCTCTAGACCTCACACAACTTGGGATTTAAATTTGGCAAAATCAAAAAACACTGAAAGGCTGTGATGGAGGTTGGGCCATTCTTGTCTGAAATCAGAGAAGCAGCTTTCTGCAAATTTCCAGGGGAAAACAGGCAACTTTAGGACAGACAAATATATCTGTCCTCTGAAGCTGACTCAGAACCATAAGATCCATGATTAAGCTGAGTTCCCTGACCTTAGGCAGGAGCTCAGTGCATCAGGCAGACGTGGGAGGCCCAGGACAGCCAGGTGAACCCCAGGACTGCATGTAAATGCATCTGAGGATACCTGGTCGACTCCTGTAGATGAATGGACAGAGCTGACAGCGATCCAGAGGCCCAGGCAGTAAGGTCGCAAGTTCTACACTAGCATGGATGACTCAGTGAGACCCTGTCTTAAAATAAAGACTAAAAAGGACCGGTGATGCAACTCAGTGGTAGAGGACTCCTCAGTACAAAAAAAAAAAAAAAAAAAAAAAAAAAAAAAGAAAATGAAAAATAAATGGATAAATAAACAAACTTCTGGAGAATCTTTCCAGTGGTCCTTAAGTTGGGAACAAGGAAGGTGGTACTTTGAAGCAATTTGTATTGGAAGCCAAGGAGATGGATACGTGACTTCTTTAAGCTTCTGAGATCCAGGCTCAATTTACTTTAGGGGTAAACAGAATCTGAGGGATGCATGTCCTTGGCAAAAATGCATGTAATACAGAAGGTGATACCTAGCATAGAAACACCATCTTAACTAGGCCTGGTGACATAGCCTGCAATCCCTGACACTCTGGAAGCTGAAGCAGGAGGATTACAAGTTCCAGGCCAGCCTGGACAATTTAGGGAGACCCTGTTTCAAAATAAAATAAAAAGGGTAGGGATGTAGCTCAGTGGTAGAGCCCTTGCCTAGCATTGTGCCAATCCCTAGTACCTAAAAACAAACAAACAATTGGGCTGGGGATGTGGCTCAAGCAGTAACATGCTTGCCTGGCATGTGCGGAGCACTGGGTTCGATCCTCAGCACCACATAAAATAAAATAAAGATGTTGTGTCCACTTGAGGAACCAAGGAACTAGGGGGTGCTCTGGGCCAGTACTAGGAATCTGGTGTTCTGGCTCTAGCCTCAGCTCTACCACAACCGGCTGTGTAGCTGTGACTTCAATGATGTCAATGCACTTCTCTGAGCCTGGATCCCCTCTTGAGAAATATGTGGGGTATAGAGATGGATTGGACCATAAACCCCTTCTGTCAGACTAAGGTTTCCTTCAACTGTATAGGCAAAAAGGCAGGAATCTGGGAGAAACAGAGGACTTACCTCAGGGACTCTAAGACCAATTTACAGATATAGTGATTTTTAAACTGAGTTAAATATTATAATTTCAACATAAATAACTCATTATAGAATTTACTTATCAATGTAGTCTCCTTGGTTCCAAGAGGGATTTGAGGTGGTTTCTGATGTTACCATTGTGCATAGGAGAACTTGTCATTTCCTGAATGTGGGGTGGGACAGGGGCCATGGCCTCCCTTGATTCCTGTGCTTCTCTCACCTCCCCACCTGCTCTTGCACATCAGAGTTGTGGGGACAACAAGAGCGTCTCAGTACCCCAGGAGAATGTGAGGTTTCTAAGGGGCCTGTTCTTCCTCCAGCAGACATGACCTGCAAGTCTTTGTTGATTTTTTTCTAGTTGAAGAACGCACCAGAAGTCCTTGAAAGTAGACTTCTAGATACTGTCCTCCCAATAAGTCATGTTCTCCAGAGGACCACGGCTCTCATAGAGTTTAATTTCACAGCCAAAAGCTCAGTGAAAGTTGTTGTTGTTGTTTTTTTCCATGGTGCTGGGGATTAAAGTCAGGGCTTTATGCACACTGGAAAGCACTCTACCACTGAGCAACACTCCCAGCCCCTGAAACTTGCTTTGAGGGCTCTCTTCTCACCTGGATTACAGGCATCTTAAAAGGAGGGACAACATCTTTCTTACTTACCTTTGTAATTCCAGCATTCAGTCTATATCCTGGTGTGACAGGTGCTCAAAACTGTTGACTAGACTTGAAGGTATTAATCAACATGAGGTCAACTTTAAATTGGATAAGTCCTTCGTGAAGTTTGTTTATTTATTTATTTTTCATTTTCTTTTCTTTCCTTTCTTTCTTTCTTTTCTTCTTTTTCTTTTTTTTTTTTTTGTACTGAGGAGTCCTCTACCACTGAGCTGCATCACCAGTCCTTTTTAGTTTTTATTTTGAGACTGTTAGGTGCAGGGCAGGCTGAACTAAGTTGTCTGCAGGACAGGCTGAACGAATTTTAGCTGCAGGATAACCCATGCACTCAACCCCACATCTAGCCCCTGCCCTGCCCCATCTGCCTGAAGGCAGAAGATGACACTACTAAGATGATCCAATCACTGTAGCCAACAAGGCAGCTTGCAGACCCAGAGACCCCATTAGATTTGGGCTATAAAATCTCCCTCCTGCCGGGCCCCTTGCTCTTGCTCTTGCTGTCTCTCTTGCTCTTGATTTCTCTTTCTTCTCTTGCTTTCACTCTCTTCTCACTCTCTCCTCTCCTTTTTTTCTCTCTCTCTTTGCTCTCCCCCTCTATCTCCTCTCTTTCCCCGCTCTTTCTTTCTCTCTCTTTTTCTCCTCTTTTGCACTGCTGCAATAAAGATCTCTTGGTTGCTCCGAGTGTTGTGGTCACTTTCCTTTCAGAGACAGGGTCTCACTAAGTCATCCAGGCTGGTGTAGAACTTGTGATCTTACTGCCTGGGACTCTGGATCTCTGGGATGACACATGTGTGTCACCGTACCCTGCTTGTGGAGTTTATCTCTGATTTCAAGTGACTAAGTGGCCTGGTGTATTTGGATTATACCACTAACTTGATAACTGGAGCTAACTCACTTTTCCTCTTGGGGCTTCAATCTCTTCACCTGCAAAATGAGGTCATGTGGCCTGGCATGGTGGTGCACATCTATAATCTCAGTGACTTGGGAGGCTGAGGCTGGAAGATGGCAAATTTGAGGACAGTGTGTGCAACTTAGTGAGACCCTGTCTCAAAAACCAAAAACCAGAAAACAAAACAAAACAAAAAAGGGGCCGGGGATGGAGCTCAGCAGTAGAGTGCTCCTGGGTTCAATTTCTAGTTCTGTTAAAAGAGAGGTGATGGGGGGGCGGGTAACTGGGTGGGATCATCTCCCAGGTTCTTCCAGTTTAAAGCCTCTGTCAGGAATAAACCATTTCAGTGGAGTCTCCCAACCTCAATACCTCCCAAACCACTTTTAGCTTCTCAGGTAAAATGTTGGTGTTCCCCTAAATGTGTCCTTTCAATGCCCCTCTCTTGGGGGAAACTACCTCTTTTCCTTCCACAGTGGAAAACAGGCAGAAGTTGCGGGCTGATGAGCTACGGAGAGAATATTATGAGGAACAAAGGAACGAATTTGAGAACTTTGTGGAGGAACAGAAGGATGGTAAGAGTTCTTGCTCATGTGCCATTTATGCCCTGTTTGCTGAGTCTTGACCTTTCTGTTCTTGTCAATAGACAAACAGTAGAAAAGGCAAGGGGGCAAGTGTCTCTGACCAAGCAATTGATGCAACATGCTCCTGCCCTCAGATCTCCTTTTTGCCCTCCAGCCTTGCTGGTTGCACCAGGGCTTCAGTAGGGAGTGGGTATGGATGGGGATGAGATAGAGAGAGGCTATATCTCTAAGCCAATGCCTTCCACCAGTGGGAGTTGATCTTGCTGTGTAGTGTCATCCACAGCAGACATCTGTAGAAACATTTAATGAGGATCAGACCAGTAGGCTTGATTCTCATTATGTGTTGGTTTCTTTCTTTTTTGGTCTTTCTCTAACTTCAAGATAGAAATGGTCCTGAGCAAGCTCACTTGGTACCTCCTGGTGCATTTGAGCTTGGACGCAGGATCCTGGTTTGGGGTACTTTTGTTAGAACCGGCTCTTTTGGTTATCCTGACTCTTGACTTTGATGGACAGAGGAAGTATGATCCTTTAAGGGCATCCTCCAGTGGAAAGACTATGGCCACCAGGTCCCAAGGGCTACAGGCTGTGACTATAGCCCTTCAGGTGGTATCTGGCTGAGCCCCACAAGCAGGTGTTGGTCTCAGATCCTGGCAAATCAAACTTAATTTTTTTTTTTTAGTTGTTGATAGACCTTTATTTTTAAAAAAATTATTTATATGCGATGCTGAGAATCAAACCCAGTGCCTCAAACATGCCAGGCAAGTGCACTACAACTGAGCCTGAGCCCCAGCCCCATCCTCCAAATCAAATTTTTTTGGGAAGATATTGTGAAAAATTCAGGCTGTCCTAGCTTAGAGGCCAATGCTTGTTACCTTGATGGACAGCTTGGGGAGAGCTGTCTTAGTTTTAAGAAATGAGAATGTGATTTTTACTCATACTACTCATAATAATGTTTTTTTTTTAAAATTTTTTTGGGGTGTGTGTGTGTGTGTGTGTTTAAAAAGTTTCAGGTCCAAATCTCTAGCACATGGGTGGAAATAATTTGCTGTTTCCCTTTTCATGATGAATTATGAAGGAGGTTAGGTACCTATAGGATGATGTGAGTTTTTGGAGGATGCTAAGATCAGGATCCTTAGGCTTCATCCACAGAGATGGAGAGGCCATTTTTAGAGTAGGCCACATGTCTTTGGGAACTGGAGTTGTAGCAGACGTTGGCGCAGAGCACTTGTTCTGCCAGGTTCTGTGCTGAACCATGTAATCCCTACAAGCTGCATCTGAGACAGGACTTGTGAGTTCCATTTTAGGGTTTGGAAAACAGGCTTAGAAAGGACACATGAATACCCAAGGTGACATACTAACAGGCTAACTAACATAACAGGAGCACGTCTAGCCTGTTTGACGATAAAGTTCTGAAAAAGGTGGAACTCTTCTCAACATTTTCATTAATGGTTTCATTATACCAAACAGAAACTCTGAACCCATTAAATAATAACTGTCCTTTCCCTTGCCTCTGTTCTGGAACAACTGTTGCTATGGCTTGGTTACCTGGGGCCATATTCAAAGCCTCCATCTTCTGGGCCCTCCTATGAGGCCCTTGATATTCCCCTTTCATAACCCTGGTTTTAGTTAGCTGTCTTATCTGACAAAGCCACCTGTTCTAAGAATAATTAATAGCAGTTGAATGTTCAACCTTTTTCAAGGTACTTACTTCATAAAAGGGATAGCCAATCAATTTCTATGGCAAAATCACACGCTCAAAGAGGAGTTGGTCCACTGAGCTTGAGCAATGTCTGAAAAAGCTGAAGACTAATGAATGAGTTCTAGTCCAGGAGTTCCAGTCTATCTCTGGGGTACCAAGTACCTAAGGATATTTTTCAAGGGGAGCACCATCTCCAGGGTCCTATGGAAGGACCGTGGTGCCTCAATGTGCAGTGGTAACAGAGCCCTTCCTCCTTGGTCCAGGTATACGGCTCTCACAGATGCTAAGGACCAGAGGGACATCCATTTTGTCCATACCACCAGTTTGTCCTATTAGCCCAAGGCCAAAGAGAATGCCACTTTCAATTGCACCAGAATCAAGTTCATAAACTTTTTGGAGAAGTTCACATTTGAGATAATAGAGGCAAGGAAGACATTTTAGGTTTTTAATCCTTGACATCATCTTCTGCCAGTATTTCCATCCTCCCAACATTTTTCACAAATTCTTTTCTTAAAAAAAAAAAAAAAAAAACCAAACAAATAACTAGGCATGGTGGCACATGTCTATAATCCCAGTGGCTCCAGAGGCTGAGGCAGGAGGAACACATGTTCAAAGCCAGCCTCAGCAACTTAGCAAAGCCCTGTCTCAAAGGAAATGTAAAAAGTGATGGGAATTGGCTCAGTGGTTAAACGCTCTGGGTTCAATCCCCAGTACCAAAACAAAAAACAAACAAACAAAAACAACCTTGTGGTAAAATAGAGATAAGGGAAAATTTGCCATTTAAACCATTGCTAAGTATACAGGTTAGTGACATTCAGTACATTCATACTGTTGTGCAACTATTACCACTAGTTCCAAATGGTTTCATTATTCCAAACAGGAACTCTGTACCCATTAAATAATAACTGTCCATTCTTCCTTCCCCCTAATCTTGGTAACCTCCATTATATTTTTTGTATCCATGAATTTTCCTGTTCTAGATATTTCATATAAATGGAGGACCACACTATTTGTCTCATTATGCATGGTCTATTTCATTTAGCACAATGTTTTCAAAGTTTATCCATGTTGTGACATGTATCCATTAATTTATTTTTATAGCTGAATAATTTCTCTTATGTATATTTGCATATGTATTTGTTTATGTATCCCCATAAATAACACATTTTGTTTATCCATTCATCTGTGGGTGGACATTTGGGTCATTTCCACTTTTGAGTGACTGCAAATGTTGTTGCTGTGAGCATTCCTGTGTACAAGTATCTGAGTCTCTGTTTTCAGTTCTCTTGAGTATATGTCTAGGAATAGAATTGCTGGATAATATGGTAATTTTATTAACTTTTGGAGGAGTCTCACTCACCCTTTTCAAATATTGGAGGTCTTATGACATCTGCCAGTGCCTTAATTGCAATTAATGGTAGCAGGCATCTTGAATTGGCACCAGGAGCCTAATTCTACAATTACACAAAGGTGTTGTTTGTAAACATGTCTGACCAAACACAAGTAAAATCACAGCTTTCTTAACTCATTAAAAACTTCCTTCGTCCCTTTTTTTAAATTATGAAATACTTCAAACATATGGAAAAGGATCAGGTTAATGAGCCCCATGGAGCCAGTTATCTAAGTTTTCCTACTTTTAGTGCATCCATCCTTTTTCCAGTTAGTTTTAAAAATGGAAATTTATTTTTGAAGCTTAGAAAATACAGAATGGTATAGAGGAGAAAAGCTGTCATAATTCTGTCATTCCAGATCCACAATGATTTCCATTCAGGAACTTTTCAAGGCACAGTGTTTGGTCTCTGTGCTACCATGTTGTTACCTTTAGTGCTTCAGTTGTCATCTCTTTGAGCCAGTGACTGCATAGGCTCTTCCCCACTTGACAGGTTTGTAGGCAAAAGAGTTCAGATGCCAGACCCTGGTCTCAGTTCTACCAGCAGCCAGCTGTGTGGCTCTGATCCACAAATGGAGGCTGCTGAACTCACATTCTCAGGCCCCTTCCAGCTCTGATCTCGGATGTCTCCAGGGCTCATAGGCACACTTGACTCATGTCACCTCAGGGTGGGCCATGTGGGCTGATGACTGCTTGTTTTCAGGTCAGAGTCCCCTTCAACCTCATGTGACTTCATCTTTCCTCATCAGAGCAGGAAGAGAGGAGCCGGGAGGCCGTGGAGCAGTGGCGGCAGTGGCATTATGATGGGCTGTACCCTTCCTATCTCTACAACCGCCACCGCATCTGACCCCACCCTGAAGCAACCCAGGAAGACAGAGCATGAACCATAGCTGCTCACCCAAGTGTACCAGCACTTCTTTCCACACAAATGCCCTAATAGGGACCTCAGCTTAGGGTGTGCTGTGGTCAACAACTCTGGTAAACACACATGCCTTTCATTCTGATGCATTAAATGTCCTGGCTTTTGCTTTTTTGTGGATGATTTTCCAAGATGAGCAACCACCTGTGGCTCATCCTAATCCCTAATCTATATTGGTTTCCCCTCACTTAATCATTGTCCCCAAAGCAGATCTCCTGTCTGATTGGACAGCAGAATCACAGTAAAGAGAGAAATTTTGTGTTTGCTTACAGCTTACAAATAAAAACGCTGACTTAACCATATGTATTATCATCTCAAATCTCCAGTTGAGCAAGGTATAGACTTGACCCCCCCACCCCCCAGTGACAATGTTAATGTTGCTGACTTGGTTGTTAGAAAAAAATACTAATACATTTGTTTTGGTAAATGCCTTCAAAGGATTGCCAAGTCCAGGGACTTCATTCCTCCAGAGTGTTAAGATTCATTCCTGATTCTTAATTGCACCCTTCAAAAGCCACAGTTACAGTAAGGCCAGTTGTATAAACAAAATGAGAAACCCTTGGTTGGCATCATCTCACTTTTCTTTATAGTGTCTTATATTTGTTTCTCACTGTTGCCATTAACAGAGTACCACAAACCAGGTGACATGAATCAATGGAAATTTATTCTCTCACAGTTCTGGAGCTGAAAAGTCTGGAACCTTGGTGTTGGCAGGGCCACATTCCCTCCAGAGCTCTAGAGGTATCCTTCCTTGCTCTTCCTGCATCCAAGAGCACCAGGCATTCCTTGGCATATGGCAGCATGATGCCACCCAACCTCATCATCATATGGCTGCCTCCGTGTGTGCTTTCACATCACCATCCCTCTCATGTATGTCTCAAGTCTCTTCTTCTAAGGACACCAGTCATATTGAATCAAGGCCTCACTCTACTAACCTTGTCCTAACTTGATTAGGACCTAAAGACCCTATTTCCAATAAGGTACCATTCACAGGGACTGAAGGATAGGACTTCAAAGTATCTTTTGAGGGGCACACAATTCTATCCCTTCCTTTCCTCTCAACCACTTTGCTTTCTGGTCCCAGGCTTATCACCCCTACTCCCACTATTGCTCCCCACTGACCTCCAGAAATTGCACACTAAGAATGGGAAGGAGTCAAAACAACTTAAGTGGGCTCTAGAAGATAAAGAGGACTCTAGGTGAAGAACAAGCACCCACTCTTCCCCAGATTCCCATCTCACCTGTGGGCCCTTGCTTCCCTCATATCTGGGGTCCCTGGCCAGCTAGCCCCCACCTGCCTTTGAGGTTGGGCTTCCAGGGCAATATAGGGTGATTTTATATAAGGGTTGCTATGAGGAAATTTTACCTTCATGGTCACAAAATATTACACCAGAGCTAGGGTGATCAATCATGTCAGGAGACATTTTTAAAAAAATACTTTAAATTTTTTTAGTTGTAGTTGGACACAATACCTTTATTTTGTTTACTTATTTTTATGTGGTTCTGAGAATCGAACCCAGGGCCTTGCACATGCTAGGCAAGTGCCCTACCGCTGAGCCACAACCCCAGCCCCAGGCCAGGAGACTTTGTAACAATACATGTATTTTTAAGTTAGTTTTTTAAAAAAAGTCTTTAAAAATACTCCAGTTATTAAGTGATTATGTGCCAGATCACCTCATATTTAACAATCAGTGCTATCATTTTCTTCCCACAAACTCCAAGCAAGAGCTGACATGACCTTGTGAAGATGAGGTGGGCAGTGGACAAACTCTCATACTAAATATAGTTTTATCTTTTTTCAGTGCTGAGGACTGAATATTGGACCTTGGTCATGCTAAATACATGCTCCACCACTGACCTTTACTTGCAGTGCTATCATTAAATGCTGTTTGTTGTGCAGGAAGATAGAAGGAACACTAGGGTTCACAATTTGGAAACTAGTGTTAAGTTTCCAAGCACAACAAAGGGCAAATGGCACTGTTTTTAGTGGCATGATTTTAGTGGCATAACTAAGGAGAATATTTTGAGTTAGTCTTCTTTACCTGTGGCCCAGGTGTACCTTCCAGATACTTCTCTGTTGGGCAACAGGTGCTCAGGAATTATCTGTGCTCGTTTTCCCTCTAAGGACTATTTACACCATTAGTGGCGGTACTGGGGTGTGAATGCTCCCTCCACATGTCATTGAACAGGCTAGACTTTGTTCACCCATTTCTTCATTGGTAAGATAGATGAAATGTGAGTTGCAACTTCTATGCATTTCAAACTGGCTGCATCAAACTTCCCTGTGAAGAGGTTAAGTGCTTACTATCACTGGGACATCTTTGCTAGTCTTTTTATAAAGCAAGCAAATTGAGAAAATTTGCAGAAAAACTCATGGTTGGGGGCCCTTGAATTATTAACTATTTATGGATCTCCTTGGACCACTTAATCAAGTCAGACCTAAACAGGTAACTAGCGCTCACCTCTCTGCATGATCTATGTATTTCTACCCGAACACCTTTGGACCTGGTGCAACAGAAAGTTTGTTTAGGAACTATAGTTGCTATAGTTTGGAGTTGGAAAGTCCTCGAAAAGCCCATGTGGTAAAGGACATGTCCTCAGCTTGGTGTATTGGAAGATGGTAGAAACTCTAAGAGGTGGGGCCTAGTGGGAGATCTTCAGTTGTGGATGTGTCCTTGAAGGGGATTGTGGGATCCTGGTCCCTTCCTCTTCCTTTCACTTTCCAGCTACAATGTAGGCAGTTTTGCTCTATTGCATGTCTGCCATGGTGTGCTCCTTGCCCAAAGCAATGGGGCCAATCAGTCATGGACTGAAACATGACTGTGAGCCAACATAACCTTTTTCTCCTTATAAGCTGCTTATCTCAGGTATTTGTTATAGAGATGGGAAACTGACACCTCATTTATCTCCACTCTCCTGGAGAGTGTCATTCTGGAAGAAACTGAAATAAAATAAAAACTTGGAAATGCCTCAGCTTTTCATTGCTATTTTTACTGTTACCTGGTGAGACTGGTATTACTTGGGAGAGACAAGGATTTCAATGTTTCAAAGCATAAATCTCAACAGGAAAGAGCTCTGCTGCTTGCCTTCCATTGCCCCAGTCTCTGATCCAAACTGGAGAGAGCAATCAGTTTGAGCACAACCAAGATGAGAGATGTTCCTGCCTGAACTACTGGTCAAGAGCCACACATGAATTTCATTTGCTTCCTATCCCATCCCCGAAAATGAGACAGAACTGGAGCATTAGCAAGTTAGTGAAATACACTCCCAGCTCAAGGATATTCTAGGTCTGTTCTTTTGGGGCTGGAGCTCCTCAGCACTTAATCCACACCTAGATTAGAAATTCTAAAGCAGCATGTGCCTATTCTAGATTGGCTAGCAAGCGAAGTGGGCGAGGGTGAGTCCTCAGGTTGGCAAGTGGGCACTGGTGTGGGTTTAGCTCAGGTGATCTCAGATTCCGAGTTCGAATTGCAGATTTTCTGGCCTGTGGTACAAGCAAGGATGGACTCTGGCCACATGCAGTTGCCCTTCTGGCTGTTGAGGAGCCCGATGGGCCTTGAGGACCCTATTCCCCTAAGGCTGGTAATCTCGGATGACAAGGTGTTTCTTAAATGAATTATAGTCGTTCCTTGAAATCTGAGAGGGATCAATTCTAGGACCTCCCTGGATACCGAAATCTACAGATGTATTCAAGTCCCTTAGGTATATGGCATGAATTTACATGTAACTTGCACATATCCTCTGGTATACTTTGAATCATCTCTAGGTTTATTAAAATATCAAACACAATGTAAATGCCAAGTCAAAACCTACACTGTATTGTTTGGGAATTAATTGCTATATAGACACAATTTTTTGGTCTATAGTTTCCTCAATCTGTGAATACAGAATTTGTGCATACAGTAGGCCAACAGTACTTTTATTACCTGCCCATCTGTATATAGAAAAAAAGCAAAGGACTGTTCTTATTTCAGCTGCAAATCAAAAGGAGCCACAATCTGGTCCATATCAGTCAGGATAAAACAGCCCATGCCTTCTGGTAAACCACCTGCCTCTCCCTTGTGCTAGTAAGCAGGTGGATGGCAGCAAATAAATTCTGACTCAGGGCCACACCACACAGCCACCTGCCTGTTGTGTCTGCAGGAAGGAATGTTGGGGCCATACAGATGTCAAAACCAGAATGGTTTGGAGGAGAGATCGTTTAAAACAGAACAAAGTAAGTTTGTCCTTGCCTCTTCAATGACCAAGGTTGGCATGTTGGCTCTAAATAAAGAATTCCAGCCCAAAGGGCCTAAATAAGAATTTGATTACTCGTTCACTCCCATCCCTAACAAGGCCTCCATTATACTTCAGGGTTTTCAAATTTGGCTCAGAATTCCTTTGCTAAAATCCAAACGAAGTCATTTCCTTGGCTGGGGGAAGGATGCCAAAGGTAACATGACCAGGAATTTGAGCAGCCACATTTAATAGGAAATTAATGACAGAACAATTTGTATTTTTGGACACTGACCTTGTCCAAAGTGTGGCCTTTGGACATTCTTTTGCTTACTCTTCTGTTCTTTTACTACTATCCTTTGTTCTTAAGGGCTTCTAGGTAAGTGGTTGAAAACAAATTTGTTAAAGATTAATTTTGTTAATTTTTTATCACCAGTTTTGCACAGTGCCCCCCTAAATAATGCTCTTAGGTTTGATTCCCAGAACTGAAAACAAACAAATTGTGCGTGTGTGCTTGTGTGTTTGGTGCATTGCAGGGGAAATTTTGCAACTTCTTATCATATGCCTTTATTTACTTAAGATTTTTTTGAAAAGAGATAATCATTTTTGTGAGTCCCAGAATGATTTTTAGTTTTTGAAGTCTTGTTAGGAGAAAGTTTCATTTCTAATTTATTTTCAATGATATTCTAATGCTCTCACAAGTTTTCTACAAT